TCTGCATTTAATAGTCAACATATCCAGATTGTGCTACAGCACAATATTTACATTTCTACAGCTGCTACCTTATTTCTCAGTGCCTCAGTTCACCATCACTTATATGGACTTTTGCTATTAATATAGTCTATTACTATAATACGTATGTACCATATATACTAAGAACATATGCAATCGGTTTTTGACCAAACTAAAGAACAAATAAGGGCAACTATACTCCCTTTATATTTAATCTGAAGAACTTCCTGAGATTAATACAGTCATACAATTACTTATCACTTATTTCAGGAGTGCAATTTTTTTTTTTTTGCAATATCATTTTAACTGTCTGCCCTAATCACATTTCTCTTGTCATTTTTAAATAAACAAGTGAAACAAAAAACAAAGACATTCATCTTACCTGCTATTCTCCACAGCTTTCATAGCATATTCAACCTGAAATACTCTGCCATCTGGAGAGAATGTGGAAGCTGACAGGTCATACTGTAAAGGAAGAAAAACAAACATATTGCTCAGCATACATTTACAAATACAGCTCACACAGCGGTAGTACCAAGCTATTTTTCTATGAAAAGTCTTAAAGTGAGTCTCTGGAGAAAATCTGTACAAGAACGGCCATACTAGGTCAGACTCCAGGTCCATCTAGCCCAGCATTCTCTTCTGACAGTGGCCAATGCCAGGTGCCCCAGAGGAAATTAACAGAACAGGTTATGTAAAATCCTGTTCAACTGATTAACCGGTTTGACATGATGTTTGACGGGTTCGATGTGATGTTTAACCAGTTAGCCAATTATGGGGGGAGGGTGAGGAGGCAGGCAAAAAGGCCACAGGCAGACTGGTCTACCGCAGGCCTAGGCACATCATAGGCAGGGGCTGTTCCTGTTGTCTGTAATGGGATGACAAAGGATGGATCACTTGATGATAGGGACATGAAAGGTTAATCAATAAGTACCCTTAACAAGTGATGCTTACTGGTTGCAGTTAACATGTATGGGCTGGAGCACCTCCCTTCAGCCATGGGCCTGGTCTGTACCATCTGCAAATTTTGCCACCTCCCTGTTTGCTCCTTTTTTTCAGATCATTTATGAATATGTTGGAGAGGCTATTTCATGAAAGCATCCATTATGAATATGTAAGTTTAATCCAGACCATCCAATGTTCCCAAAAAACAGTTTTCAGGTCTGATTCATTCTTAATCAGATTGTCTTTTTATTATTTCTTACCGAGCCAAAGGCTATATCTACACTAGCACTTTTGTCAGTAAAATTTTGTCAATCAGGAGTGTTAAAAATACATCTTGACCAACATAAGTTCACAGACAAAGCTAAGTTGACATAGCTACCTCTGCTCATGTGGTTTAATTATCCCAGTGCAAAAATGATGTGTCTCAGCATATATTGGTTATAGTTGTGCTACTGTAACATCTGTAGTGCAGACACAACCAGGCTGCGTCTACACTGGCATGATTTTGCACAAATACTTTTAATGGAAAAGTTTTTCCGCTAAAAGTATTTGCGCAAGAGAGCGTCTATACTGGCATGTGCCTTTCGCAAAAGATTGGATGCTTTTGCGCAAAAGCAAATCTTTTGCGCAAAGGCACATGCCAGTATAGATGCTCTCTTGCGCAAGAAAGCTTCAATGGCCATTTTAGCCATCGGGCTTTCTTGCACAAGAAATTGATGTTACCTGTCTACACCGGCCTCTTGCGCAAAAGGACTTATCTCTGAGCAGGAGTTTCAAAGTATTTGCGCAAGAAGCACTGATTTTGTACATTACAACGTCAGTGTTCTTGCGCAAAATCTTGCCAGTGTAGACGCAGCCCCATAGTCTTATGTACTGCATTATCCCAGGTCAGAATGGCAGAGATCCTTGCCAAGCACTTGCTCAGTGTGCATGTCTATAGAAAATAGCATCCTTTATAACAGTTGTGGGCAAAAGCAGCCAGCAGGGGAAAGAGAGCAGCAGATCTGTGTACTACATGTGCCCACAAGCACTGCCACTGGTGAGTTTCTGACAAATGGGAGGCTGCAAGGATGGTGATGGGGCAGGGGCAGGTTACGGAGACACATCCACTGGCCCCAGCAGCCAGTCACTTAAGCTGGGCCACCAGCTGGGAGCCGCCTATGGTGAGCATCTTCCGGACAGAGCCTGCACCTGACACCCCATCCTGTACCCCAACCCCAGGTAACAGCTCCCTCCTGCACCCAAGCTCTCTGCACCCTAGCCCCAGGTCACAATCTCCTACTACCCAGAACTTCTTCCTGTAGCCAAACTCCATCCCAGACCCTGCACTTCCCTGTTAAGATCATAGAAAAGTGCAGCCCCTGACCACTTACCAAATTCTCAGAGTGGCCCCCCATCGAAAATTATTGCCCATCCTTGCTCTATAAATTAGGGATGTAAACTCCCATTTAAAATGTTAACTGGTTAAACTGTGTTTAATGGGTTAATCAGCCAGTGGTGCAGAAGGCGCAGTTGGTACCAGCTCAGCTAAGCCAGGCTAGGCCCTCACTTGCCATGTAGCACAGTGAACCCAGCCAGGCTGCTCTGGTCAGGCCTGCTGCACTGTGCTTCAGACTGGGGGTCAGCCAGCTCTGATTGGGCCCCAGTTAACTGGTTACCCCAGTAAGTATACTGGTAAGGTAAATGTTTACTAGGTAACTAGTTAACCATGCATATCCCTAAGTTGAATGGCAAGTGCCCAGCCACTGCAGAGAATTCATCCCCAGATCACTGACAACATGCATCTGAACTCAGAGAAGGGCATCCTGAATCTCTCCCTGCAGATGAGATGCCCCTTTTAAAAAACACAGCAGAGATTGGGGGAGTAGGTGTCATGGGGCAGAGAACATCCATACGCTGAGAAGAGTACATCAGTGGTCTGCGGCTGGACAGAGAACCCCATTCCCTCTTCCTAGAGCCCCAAATCCTTCCCACATACCCATTCACTTCACTTCCTATAGCCCCCCAGCTCCTCAGTTTTCAACTGGGGGGGGGTCCATGAATCGTTTCAGGAGATCCACAAACCTGGTGGGGCTGAAGCCCTGAGCTCCAGCACCCTCTAACTCCAGGAGAAACGTTGAATTGTCGTATAACATATTTTGGGAACCTTAAAAGACAACAACCAAAAAACTGAGAGCCTATTGGTCTAGTGCCCCTAGAGCTTTCCGTTCAGGAAACAAATTGAGAAAATAGAAACAAGAAAATATAAGTGTCCGGTATTTTCTAAATAAGATGTAATGTAGATTGTGATGTAATGTCAAGTGTGTCCAGTATTTTTGTTGTTGTCGTATAACATATTTTGGGAACCTTAAAAGACAACAACCAAAAAACTGAGAGCCTATTGGTCTAGTGCCCCTAGAGCTTTCCGTTCAGGAAACAAATTGAGAAAATAGAAACAAGAAAATATAAGTGTCCGGTATTTTCTAAATAAGATGTAATGTAGATTGTGATGTAATGTCAAGTGTGTCCAGTATTTTTGTTGAAACCATCTGGCAACCCTATCCCAGCCCCTCCTTTCCCCTT